AATTTCATTGTACTATGACCTGATAATATGCATGGGATAGTTGCTTTGCATTTACTTATGCATATTCTGTGGGTTAGTATGTAGTCTGTTTTGGTTTTTTTTTGAGACAGCATCTTGTTATATAGCCCCTGCTGTCTTCAGTCTCATGGTGATGCTTTTGACTCAGCCTCCTGTGTACTGGATTACAGGCATGCAGCATCATGGCCAGCCAAGTATGTGTTTTGTTTTGGAGAAAGTCCAGTGTACTGCTGAGAAGATTGTGTATTCTGTTGTTGTCAGGTGGAACACTGTGTAGATACCTACTAAATCCATTTGTTCAGAGGTTTGCTTCAGCTGTAATATTTTGTTGATTTTTTTTTTTTTTTGGGGGTCTGGTTTATTTGTAACAGTGGAGTATTGAAGTCTCCTGTTGTACCTGCATTAGTGCCTATCTGATTTTTCACTTCCATTGTTGTTTGTTTTATGTAGCTGGAAGTGCCAGTATTTGGTACATATATATTTATGATTGTTATCTCTTCCTCTTGAATTATTCTGTTAACAAGTATGTAATGACCTTCTCTCTGGTCAGTCTTAGCTTGAAACCCACTTTGTGTGTGAATAGAATGGCTACCTTTTTTCCTTGGCTCCCGTTACATGAAGTATTATTTTCCATCCTTTGATTTGCAGTTTTATTAGTTTCGTTTTTGAGTTAAATGTTTTTCTTTTTCTTTTTTTTTTTTTTTTAATTTTTTTTCATTTATTTATTTATTTATGTGTGTGTGTGTGTGTGTGTGTGTGTGTCCAGCTCAGCCCACCAGGGGGCGGGGCTGGCTGGCATGTGGTGCTGGGGGATTGAACCGCGGTCCCTGTGCTTTGCCAAGCTTGTTCTAAGTAGGTGCTTTAGACCACTGAGCCATTTCACCAGCCCCTAAATGTTTTTCTTGTATGCAGCATGTGGTTGGGTCTTGTTTCCTGATCCATCCTTTAGTGATGAATTGACACTATTCACATTCATTGATGGGTATAACTGAAAGGTATTAACTTGTCCTTGTCAACATACTATTTTCCTGTTTTTCCTTTTTCCTTTTATTTAATTGCTTGCCTTGCCTGGTGGATTCATTCTATTGGAATTCTTAGAATTATCTTCATGGTCTTTCTAGAAAAGTGTTGCTTTGGTGGTCATGTACTTCTTCAGGTGTTCTTGAAACACCTGAATCATGGAAATATCTCATTTCTCCATCTATTTATATTTTTATTTGTTGGTACAGGGTCTTCTTATGCAGTCGGCACTCATAGTGATCCTCCTGCTTCAGCCTCCCCAGCCCTGGGATTACAGACGTGTGCCACCACACCAGGTCTTGGTGGCTGGGGCTGAGTGCGCCCTGGGGGAGGGGCTGGCACGGCATGTGGTACTGGGGATCTAACTCAGGATCTTGTGCCTGCCAGGCAGTTGGTTAGACTGCTGAGCTGTCTCCCAGTCTCCACATCAATTTTTTTTTTTTTTTTTTTTTTTTTTGGGTCTGGTTTATTTGTAACAGTGGAGTATTGAAG